AATTTAATTTAAGTTTAATAATAAAACAATTTATTTTTGGTTTAATATTATAAATTTTATAAAGATAATAATTAAGTACTCTGTTAGAATTTAATGATTATACTAATTATATTTTAGATTTTTTATATTTAAAAAGAGATGTTTATCTTGTATTTGATTGTGTTTATCTGCAGTTAGTTACACAAATTCAGATATGGGATAAAATCGGATAGAGATGAAATCGTTTAGGGATGAACGAGTTTAAGAGTTTTTAAGAGTTTTAATCAAATGCTTTATTAGATAGTATATATATATAAGATGAGTTGTCATTCAACCCATATATATATATATATATATATATATATATAGACTTAGGATCATGTGAGACCAAATGTTTTTCATCAGACCCGTAAGACCAATTCTCAACTCTTGGATTAGATCTAAAATCTGAATATTCATAATCACAAAATTTCCCCATGACTTCTCAATAATCACAAAATTGTCATCATACAACTTTAGACCATTATATCATTAGCTTATAAAGTTGATCAATGAACATAAATTGGTCTTACGGATCTCACAAAAAACCTCTGGTCTCACGTGAACCCAACCCTATATATATATACTAGTTGTGTGCCCGCGCAATGCAGCGGGATGTCAAATTTTCTAATAAGCCAAAAACTAAAAATGAGTGCAACTATTTATCAAAAAATATAAAATTTATATTTAAACATTCGATCTTTCAGTGGAACCCTTAGAAGTTACAAATGGTTTAGTGAAAAAGAGAATCAAAATGATAAAATAGACGTACACATTTTACTGATACATTCTTTTATGTGGATAGAATGGTCTAGCCTCAACAATTTCTATAGGAAAATTCATAAACAAGCCGAAAGTGAATAGAGCACGTGAAGCCTTCGCAACATGCAACTTTTTTATCTATAATAAATACAAGTGAAGCCTTCACAACATGCAACTTTTTGTCTATAATAACTTGTAAATATAAAAATAAAAATTAATTACCATAAATTCCAAAACTACCATTTCCCTAATTTTTTAAATCAATATTTAAGCAAGTCACTTCCTGCAACACACCTTTTGTTTTTAGAATACAAATGTATCCCCAGGACTAATCAAATAATCAAACAAGTTCAAATATTTTGATGTTTTAAACAAATAGAAAGAAAGCATCTTCTTCCCGGAAGAGTCATATCCCCAGACCCCAACAATTGTGGTTCTTTTCAGTCCATTTGTCCAGCAGGATTTTTATTAGAAGTTATAAAACATGATTGATGAGGTATAGGGGTCGTTAAACAAAATCTTACCCGGGTAAGTGCTTACCAAGTGACATTACCTCACCGGATGAATATGGTTAGGACCAAAAAATCTTATCCGGTAAGAGCGAGACAAGGACCAAGAGTCTTACCGGTAAGTGAGRACGACGACTCTTACCACGGTAAGCGCTTACCGGGTAGATTGTTGCATACGTTGTCGTTTTGTTGGACTAAAATTTTACCCGATAAGTAAATAATAATTAAATTATACCGGTAAGCACTTACGGGTACGTGTTTGGTAAACGGCCCCATAGATTATTATAACACAAGCTTCAACTGGTTCAAATGACCATTCAGCAAAGCATCATATATGATGAGGCTGTAATGATTCCTATGATGCACCCTACAGCCATGAGCCCATGATTTGTTCCCTCTTATAAGATGGCAAAGTTGGAGCTTCAACTCCATTATACCACATTGAAATTGCTTAACTTGGCTAGTAAAACGGTTTCAACAGTGACATTGCAAACCCCAAGGCCCATGGAAAGCTTGCAGTTACTAAACTGTCAAAAGGTTTGTCGGTTTCAATCAGAATCTATCTAGGAGATCAATCATACTGCAAGGAAATCTGTGAAACCATCAGAATCTCACGGAGGAGTGCATTAATATCAACACCTGTTACTTAGCACACATAGAGAGGTTTCTTTTTCTGAACCAAAAAATCTTCTAAAAAGTGAAAGCGTAAAGTCAAGAAGCATCCCAACAGAGATCAAAAACAAGCTTGAAGCACAGCTGCCATTGATCCTCAACCCGTATATGTCACGGCAAGAGTGTGGCACTTTACAAGGCATGATATTAGGCAACAAATTTGTATGCCATTTGTATAATTGTATATACATATGTGTTTTAATATCAACTTAAGATGAGAATCGTACAAAGATGAGGATGAGAATCGACCACGATGGCTTCGATAGTTATTGTACTAAGATTGTAGCATCACTCGAGAAATTTCACTTATCTAATGACTATATCTTGATGCATCTAAAAGGAAAATACAACAAACAAAAAAGGGAGCGATCACTTTGATCCAACTTGATCATTTCACCTGATCTCTCRTCCAATGCCACTAATGAACCTGACATCTGGACAACAAAACTGGAGTATATTAGCAGCTTGAATTGTAGCAGAACAGTAGCTACCAACTCAAAAACAAACGCATCAAAACATCTAATACRTAATACATAAAGAAGRTTGGATGTAGATGGAACCTCTCATGTTATTACATAAATTTAGTGATAGAAAGAAGAGACAGAAAATGTCAGTTATTGATAAAAAATGCAGAGTAACATACCTGAGTATAGAGATTACGCCTAAAACTACCGTCATAATTTTAAACTACATAACACAAGCTGTAAGAGGTCAAGAAATAGGTAATAATGTGTTGATAAATACCAATATTTGCAGATCTAGAAAAGAGAACGCTAAAGCCAAACCGATTAGTGATGATAACTTAGGCCCAAACCTTTGAACCTCTTGATCAGGGATCCTTGAAAACTTGCCGGAAAACTTAAACAAAGGGCACACATATAACTTCAAAGTCAAAAGATTGAAACTAAATATTCATTCAACTGAAAGTAAACATGGAGTACTTAAAGCGAAAAGAAAAAACAGGTATGCTTTTTATGGTCAAGATGGAAAAAAGCACAAAAAACTAAAACTCAAATTCATTAGCAACTCAACCATTTGTCTGGTAAGGTAAAAATTCACTAACTCCTTGAGAAATCGATCAAAATTGGTGCTTATATAAATTGCTTCTCAGTTCGTAAGATCACATTTTAAACTTAAAAGCCCAAAACTGAGATCAACTTCATTGTGAATCTAAGTTGCAGCATATGCTAGGACCTGCCCTAGAAGACAGCAGGTGCAGGATGTAAGCTCATAGCTGAAAGAGCTTGCCGAAACAACAAAATGCTTTACTGGCAGTTGGCTACCTGGTTGCATAATTCAATCAGTTAACTTTTTTTATGGTCCCTAACAGTAGAATGACAAAAGAGTGACAAGGTGTTTTAATGTACAACCAGAGGTATATAGACCTCATGTGCTTATTCTTGCTGTCTTGCTAACCCCAACAGTAGTACAATGTGTGCAGAGGTATATAATTTAAATGTTAGGGTGATTGATCTGTACTTATACCGCATCCCTTTCGATTAGACCCTTCCTTTATCTGAATTTCGTAAATCTTTTTGCCTGCTCTGGAGAAATGTTCTGCAGGAGGAAATTCAGTCAGGTACCACATGCTAAATTTCTTCAGAAAAGAACAAGATGGGAAGGATATGCATAACTTTTTTAAGAGAAAAGAAAAGAACCCTTGCATGGAATGATTCTGAAAAAGCCATGAGTTTGAAGTTTGAAGTATTCACAAGTTTTTAACTTATTTCTTAATTATGTTGGTCCTTCAAAATTTGCATTCAACGAACAATCTTAATTTTAAGTTAACATACCAGACTCAAAAATAAGGGTGCCATCTTGAATACAAAGAGTACTTATAGCTCTTATGCATGATAAGCACACAAAAAAACAAGCAATGTGGAATGTTGCATCACTTGGCGAACATCATTTCACTTGTCTATTCTATTTTGTATGATTATACAAGCTTAGACTGGAAATGAGACTACCATTTCTCCTCCAAATACATTCTGAAGAAAGAAATCACAACTACTTTACAGTTTACATGCTTATCTGATATCTTGGTTTCCTTCTCATTTGTATTTGCAGACATGATAGGGTTATATAAATAATGTATTCAATTGAATCATGAGTGCATCATTAAGCTTAGTGTCTTCAGCAAGACAAACCTGTACAGCTCTAAAAAAGAATTGTGTTTAATATAGTCGTGGATGCAATGTACAAACTCTAGTGGATATTCAGATGAACAGTAAAATTCAATTCAAAAGACACAGTTATTTATTTGTCTATAATATCAGTGGTTTTGTAAACATCTTGTTCAGTAACTTACAGTCCCACTTATAGAGACAGGGATTGTGCCGGTGAGAGGGCCAAATAGAATACCAGCTGACATCGTAAATGGAATGGTTGGTATTGCAAGTACCTACCAAGAAAAAGTTTATTTGCATCAGTATTCTATTGCCGGTTATGTCCAATATCAAACAAAAAAGGGGAAACAAATGAAAGGAAAATGTAAGAAACCAACAATGGTTTGTAAATTAGTACAAGTATTGATATTTGTTACTGAGAATGATCGAACACAAGAAAACCATCTTTTAAACACGAAACTGAAATTCATTGATACACACAAGAGAGTCAGAGGCTTACTTCCAGGCCAGCATAAACTGCAACAAAAAGCGCATATCCAGCAGGGCCATAACCTGTGCACAAGGCCCAAAACAGTCTCGAAACGGCATCCAAACAGTCCTTATAGTTGCTGATTATTTATCTACCAAACAGCTCCTTTAGCTACTGATTTTTGGCCACAAAATAGCCCCATAACTGCTGATCTTTAGCAACAAAACAACCCTTTAGCTGTTGATTTTTTATCCACGGAACAGCTTCGCTAGCTGTCGATTTTTCGCCAGAAAGCAGCCCCGTAGCTTAAATAAATGTACATCATAATTGAGGGTAGAATTGTGAATTTAGTGAAGTGTAACTATCTACTAATGAAAGTGGACACATTTGGGACAAACTTACATAGAAATGTGGACACTTGTTTTGGGACGAAGGGAGTACTAAATTATGGCTTAACTCACTACGAAAATAGGCTAGTTCATGTAGAAGAGAGCATATACCTTATTCAAAGATGCCTCATTGTGCTTTCAAAGATTCACCACTTAATTCCCTCCTAACCAACTTCAGGATTTCGATAACCTGCAAAGAAAAGAAAAAAAAAGGTTATTGAAGCACCAATTGAAAGCAAGACTGTTCATATTAGTTTATACCAATGATGTACACAGTCCACAAGGAGATTCTGATCTGAATTTCTGTTTTTCGGAATTAGACGTGCTATAATGACCATATAGTAGCAAAGTATAAAAACACAGTTATATAGTTTTTGAAAAACAAAAGATAGAGAAATATTCTTGTTAAATAAATCATTCTTGTCTTACCCYCGGGTAATGTTRCAAGACRGGCGAGTAATGATCAAGAGCTATATATATCTTCTCAAGAARGCCTAAAAGTGTTTCGACTTCATCACCCAAAGGATCAACCTGGATCCAAAGAAAATATCAAAGAAAAATAGTCTAACATGTTATGTGCATAACTACAATACGACAAAGCACTGGACCTAAAACATGCCAAAACAAAGAACACATGTAACAGATTCATAACATAAACCATAGCAAAATAACTGTATATGTTTACAGATGGTTTCATAATTTGGTTCATACTTTAGAACAGGAGGTGTTGGCACTAAGATATGGCATCTCTATGGAAGAACATCTATAAGCACTACTTGAATAGTCAATCATGCTATTACTGGAGGGCCAAAAACAACAATCAACAACCATTGTACCATCTTCCAAACTTCGTTTACATATACATATCGATACACAAAGTTGGGTAAAGGAAAAAGAGAAATAGATTACCTCCTCTAGATTCTGGATTAACACTAATGGATTGAAGAACATGTCAAATATATATGCATCTCTAATCGATATCATCTCAGAATATTTAGGGATTAAATCGAATCGTTTAGGGTTTATTTCATCGAATTCGGTTAGAGCGATGAAATCGTTTAGATGAAATCGAATTGGGTTAGGGCGATGAAATCGTTTAGATGAAATCGAATTGGGTTGGATGGGGATAAACAGGGGATTGGGTTTAGAGATATGCAGATTTGGGATGACGGGGGTTTAGGGATACGTAGTAGATGAAATCGAATTGGGTTAGTTGGGTTGGATAGCGATAAACAGGGGATTGGGTTTTTAAGAGTTTTAAGAGTTTTTTAAGAGTTTTCAAAAGTTTAAGAGTTTTTAAGAGTTTAAGAGTTTTTTAAGAGTTTTCAAAAGTTTAAAAGTTTTTAAGAGTTTTAGCCAAATGCTTTATAATATAGTATAAATATATATTACAATTTTTTAAATTAAAACAAATAAACAAACCGTTCATAATACTTCCAATTTATAATATTTATTCACATTTTTATTTTCAAAAAAAAATATTGATCATTGGTATCATGAAATATTTTATTTAAAGGAGCAGAAGCAATGGGCATAAACGCCATTTCTATTCATCTCCTCCATCTCCATGCCCACTCATTTATGGCTTCTGCTTCTAATTCATCTCCTCTTTCTGTCTACTATTTCTGCCTCCGGCGACGGTAACGGTAAGCTTACTCTATACACACACACACACACACACACACACATATATATATATATATATATATATATATATATATATATATATATATATATATCAACTTGATATCACGTGAGACCAATAAGACCAATTATCAACCCTTGGATTTAGATCTACAATCTAAACATTCATAATCACAAAATTGCTAGGAGACTTCTCAATAATCACGAAATTGTTACCGTACAACTTTAGACCGTTAGATCATTAACTTATAAAGTTGATCAATGAACATAAATTGGTCTTACGGGTCTCACGAAAAACTCTTAGTCTCATGTGTTAAATCAATCAAACATATTAACAGAATCAATCTCATAATTCTTATTAAGAGATGAGATTAAAGATACATACTTGAAGAGAAGTTCATAGGATGTTGATTTGTAGAAGATGAAGAAGCCATTGATTATCCTTCAATAGTCCTCTTAATTAACCTTAATGATGATGGATTAATTGTTGTATGTGTTCTTGATGAACTCTCAATTATTATCCCTTTCTTGGTGCCATCCTTCGTTTCCAGTGAGAATTAGGGCAACAGAGAACATAAATGAATGATAACCAACATATAAATAGTTAATACACAGGGACCAATATTGACCATCACAATAGTTAGAGGACCTGCATGTAAATATGGGAATAATTAATAATAAGAGAATAATTATGGATTAATAAACTTATATATATAATGATATTAATAGTTTAGGCCATATTAATTAAATAAATCTTACATTCTCCCACGTGGCCGTATRACTATTTATATCAAATAAGTTGGCCATTTATTAATCCATTTTGGATATATTTCGAAAAAGCATTGAGGCAAAAAAATGTAATCGTACATACCTTAAAAGATATGAGATCCTCATCAATTATACTTCAGTACTCCACAAAATATAACTTGTGATTTTATGGCTATCATATCTGCTCCAAGACAATTAGTGTTAACATAAATTAGTAGAGCAAATAAATAACATAATGTGAAAGATAGAATTGTAAGCGCTTACCTTTAATAATGTATAGTACCATGTGACACTATGCGAGAACGCCCTTATATCTAGGCCAACCAAGATTTTGATTTATATCTAATAAATTGGTCTCATAATCGATCCAAATTATACTTTGCAATCAAATTTTGGTATTACTTCAAACCCATTTAACAAAACGATCTATATCGGTCCTAATTGGTATCCGATTTTTCACAACCAAACGTTTTTTTTATTATAATCATTCATAAACCGTCGCATGATTCAAACAAACTGAAAAAAATGATCTTTGGCCATTTTCCTAAATAGAACAAGTTGTATCAACAGTATTGGACCTTCCCGAGTGCTATTTGTATACTACTAAGAATGAGAACGTGCAAACATATCCATACGAGAAAGTGACTCAATGGTGCACTAGGCACTAGGGGTGTTTATGAGTCGAAGTATCAGGTTGTTTGGGATCGACTTGCAAAAATAATATCAGAGTTGAACTCGAACAATTTTCAGTATTCGAGCTCGAGCTCTAGTGTTTGTTTAACAATTTTGTGTTATACATTATTGACCTGTAGTAAAGCTTTATAAGCTCATTTATGGACTCGAACTCGAGTTGAGTGAACTTCTTTAATGGCCCGAATCGATATTTTGATTCTATGCTTTATGAACAAATATGTTTGGACCATAAGGGTGGTGTCTGATTGGTTTGAGCTTGGCTCCAAAGGTCAAAAGTGTCTGGAGGTCCCAGGTTCAAATCCAAGAAGGAACAAAAATCCCCTTGTGGCCATGGAGATTCAAATGCGGTGACTCCGGGCAAGCAGGTGGTCGCCTTGAGATTAGTCGGCTCGCATAGCGGGTTGGATATCTAGGTTAATAAAAAAAAAACAAATATGTGTTTGGTCGATCTCGAAAATTACTAAGGGGTCGTTTACTAAACGGTTATCCTATAAGTGCTTAATGTGTATTTTTCCTTACCGAATGAATATGACAAAAGTCAAAAATCTTACCCCGTAAGAGTAATGATAAAGATGAAGAGTCTTATGTGGTAAGTGAGGATGACGACTCTTACCCGAGTAAGCACTTACCGGGTAAATTGTTGCATACTATACCATTTTGATGTACTACAATCTTACCTAGTAAAATAAATTACAATATTGACTCCTAAACGTAAGCGCTTACCAGGTAAGCATTTAGGTAAACGGCCCCTAAGTATAAGTCTGAGTAACTCATTAAATTCTCAAATCATTAGCATTATGTGGTTACAAATATTAGTTGTGTGGACCTGGCCCGACTTGGGATTGATTGGGACGGGTTTTGCCCTGACAGTTCAGGACCGTTACAAATTTTATTGAATTTCATATCCGGTCTGGATGATTATGTATTGGACCGATTTTCAACTTCTTTTAAGTTTTTATTAATTATAATACAAGATTTTCAAAAAAAAATTCCAAAATTTTCAACATATTCAATATTTAAATAAATGCATGGATTTTCGGGATTGGCCCAACGGGCCCGGAACTAGTTACCAAGCATAGAATCAGCCATACGAGTTTTTATCGAAACCGTGACCGAATCTAACCGACGAGGAACGGATTTATGACCACCCTAGGATTGATTTTTGGCCATCTTTATCATGGGCCGGGGTACAAAGCTTGAAATTGACCGAAGCCCAAGATAAGAATAGTATCAGGCCCAAAAAGCCCAATATCGGTTGAGCCCGATAAGGATTTGATTAAGCCTCTTTTTGAAATATTTTAATAAATAATTACATGATTAATAGTTTACGTATTTTCTAAACTTACGGGTAAGCTCTTACTAGGGCCACTTACCTTAATGCCTGAGAATGACAAGGATCGAAAATCATACTCGGTAAGAAACCCAAAATAATGGTAACTCCATTTTGTTTAAAAAGGCAGGTAATGTGTGAATATAGGCATAGAATCTGATACTTAATCAATGGACCGAAAGACCGGTCCTTTGATTAAGTAAGTTTATTATATTTAAGAGTACAATGCATGCAGTGACCAGTGACCCTTCATTCAAACAAATAACGATATATGATAGAGAAAAACAAACAACAACTTAACCACACATAACATAGTTTCCGTGCTTAAGGGAAATCCGCGTCTGAAGGAGCAACCGCAGGGGCGTAGGCGAAAGGAGGATCAGCGCCGGCAACACGAGATTTGACACAAGCAGCAAAAGCTTTACCACCAGCTTTAGTAAGAGCACGCCTAACATCAATGGCTCCGTCACAAGCATCGGTGCAAAGCTGTTGAACAGAAGCCTTGCCGATTTCTGCCCAACAACTACTATTACTGTCATCAGCTGGAGCACCAGTTTGAGCAAGAACTTCAGCAACAGCAAGATCAATAACCGCTTTACAAGCAATTTTACAAGTACGAGCACGAAGACGTGTAGTTCTATCAGGACGATTTACAGGAGTCGGCTTTGCCTTCGGATCATGTGGACTGATGGTCGGGAGCTCCACAGTCGGTTTACCTGAAGGAAGCCTGTAGATAGGAGGAAGGGTAACAG